TCTCGGGAAAAGTTTCTTGAATTTATGAAAAATGATACACACTTTAAAGGGGACAAAGAGTACTATGAACAGTATTTGGTTTATAACCCTAATGCCATCAGTATCCTAGGTTCAATTCACTACTTAGTCCACATTAGATTGAAAACTCTGAAAGATGCTTCATTGAGCACAGAAAAGTACTTGCTAAATATTGCTTAAGAGACACATCTCAACATGTTACATGTAAGTTTGGTTGTTAACTTTTTTAGCCATACAGTAACTTGATCTGCCACAAAAAATTGAAATAAACTTTAATTAATTTACTTTCAACTGCTAAAACTTCCACTTTGAATTGCAATCTTTGCAATTTTAATTGGTGCATTTTAATTATAATACTGTGAGTTTATTATACACAAGTGAACTTTTAAAAATGCGCATGCACTCAAATTGTCTAGTTTGAAAGTGAATAGCAAGTACTATTCACTTCCAAATAGTGGATGAGACAGAATTGTGTGGCACGAGTTGAATCACTGAACGTTTTTTGGTAAAAATAATGAAAGAAGTACACTTAATGTTTTGATATCTGACTGTGTCTATAGATGTACTGTTACAATTGTTCACCTCAGTGATGTTGAAAGAGGTGGATAATCACTAAGCCATTTAGTGGCAAGGTAATTATCCATCACTAGTCACCTTCACTCTGGTAACTAATTGTTCATGATCATTATTTTCTTGCAGCTTGTGATATGAATGCCATTGGTTTGGCCAATGGTGGTAAAATTCCAGACGGCAGCTTTACAGCCTCATCAATATTTGGTGATTGGGTTGGCTATGCAGCTAAAAATGGTCGACTGAATAAAGATAAAGCATGGGCTCCCGAGACAGAGGACAATGATCAGGACTACCTACAAATTGATCTGCTATATGAGTATATTATCTGTGCCACAGCCATTCAAGGAAATCCAACTTCTAATACCCAAACTAAAGAATGGACTACACATTACAAGATTCAGTTATCTCTTAATGATACCACTTTTGACACCTACAAAGAAAGCAATAATGACAAGGTTGGTAACATGTAAAGGTCACAAACATGAATGCCTAAAATTTGCATCTGGTGCACTCTCTAAACTTTTCGAGCCAAGAGTAGGCCCTTACCGAATGGACAGTTATGTAAAGTATCTGCAACTATCTGTCTCGTATCTGTTACAGTACGGCACAATGTCTGTAATGGTGTTATTCATATCTGCAGCATATCTGCAATTATATATGTTTACAGTTATTTCACAGATATGTAGGGACTTCTTTCAAATATCTGCAAAGTATCTTAGGAAATTGACATTTATTTAACATATATGTAGGTGATCAAACAGAGTGAGTTAGAAATCAAGGACCCGGCCATCTTTTAAATTGTCATCATATGCCAGTAATGATATTTGAATTTGCCCTACTAGGAGACCATAATTTATTTGATTAAAAGCTGACCAAAAATTGAGTGTCCAAGCTACCAAACTTTTAAACAATTAATTGTGTAAAACTACTAAGATCTCTATGGAAAATAGCATATTGATTGAGTGACATGTAATAGTTTGCAAAAGGGGTCTTCTCAGCCATGTCTTTAAAAATCCTCTTTATTGTGGTATTTAACCTTGTGTCCTTCAACAAGAACTGATTACAACTGTAGGGTCCAGAAATAAATTCACACAACCAATTTTCTATCTGTACATCAATTTACTCGCTTTGCAAATCTAACATGAAAACAGGTCAACCTTTTAATAAACAAGTGGGTCATTGTTTTCTTCAAAAGTGTTTAGCTTACTTGGATCAGCTGTCCCGCCGTTAGTGATCGTCAACTAAACCTATATCTGGAATTATTTCATTACTGTTCGGTTCTTCTACGTTTCATAAATGTGTGAAGGAAGTTCTTCATGATTTTGTACTTCGACGCAATCCAAAAGTTAGCCTGAATCAAAAACTATGTCCTGCAGTGTGAATCCTGACCATCCATTTTCAGCTGTTCAAGAATTCGAAATCAGCGATCCATTTGAACCATCGATGTGATCTTCAAAACACAGTGCAGTTAAAAGAGGGGTTGGTCTGAAATTATTACAGCTTGGAGCTTCGATTAAAGCATTCCTCACAAGACAACTCAAGCTTTGGTAGCAAAGGATTTGCAACGCAACGAATAGGTGTTGATACGCTTGCGTTTCTTTCAATCAGTCCGTTTAGCCGCCATCTTGCTTTACACTGTAGATGGACGAGGGGAGAATGGTACCAAAAGTATAAAACGGGTTTGATTGGATATGCTGGAATTTCTAAGCTTCTTCGGTAAACTTTGTTATTTTGGCGGCACTTCTGTTTTCTTTTCGTGGTGTGATAAATTTCAGTTATTCAAATGCTTGCACGTGGCGTCATTTTAGCGTGCTGCAGACTTATAGTTCGGCTTACAGATAAAGATCAGCTCTGCAAAATGTCAAAAAGGAATAAATGAATTACCAAAGTATCAACACGTCTTCAAGAGGTTAATGGTGAGTGACACCCATTTTTTTAGTGGTGAAACTTAACACTTTTTTGTTTATTTCGTTCTTAGTTGTGAATGATGACCTTATCGAAACTATGAAATAACTGTTTGTAGCAAGACTTACTTCAAACGGATAAGCTTGGTTGCTGATACCTTGTTTCCCTATAGACTTTCACCCTGTGAAATTTACTGAGGATGGAATATAGTGCCTGTTCGGTTGAGGTAAAGTTGAGATTGCAGGTGCTGATGTTGAGGCAGGCTCCTTGTGTGACACATTCTGGGAGGATGCAAATAGCAAAGGGCTGATTCCCAGCAATAATTCTCACTTTTCGTGGTATGTAAACTGAATAACCCCTCATTTTTTCTTTTTTATCTCAACAATTCAACTCCTTAAATGGTCCTTTGCCTCTATTTCATGTTCCAAAGGTAAAGAGTGTTTGATAAAACTAATATGAATTACTTTCTTCTTTGCCAGTAACTAAGCCACAATGATGATATTTTTTATGAAGTGATAGTCTTTTGCAGAATTGATTACTACTTCCCTTGCTAACCAAGCTTACACTGTCACTTTGGACCGTGTCTTTCATCATTTTGATTGATTGATTATAGTTAGGGAAGGGGGCTATTCCAAGTGGTGATCTCAATCTCTGGAAATCTAGGTACAGTGTGCATGGTCAAACAAACTACTGTACTCTCCTTGGTTGAAATTTTTGTTAGTATTTTAGATTAGGAAACTCCATGTTACCAACATAATCAACTGTCGGGCTGTTTGTTGGTAATCCACTATTTCAATCATTTGAGGACTGACTTGAACATTTGTCTTTTCATTGCTTACTAGGTTTTGTTCTGGATGAGAAAAATTATAGAAAGCAGACTGCCACAGTTGTAAATAAAACCTTGCAAGATATTTTGTTGTGGAGTTTGTAGAGGAGTATCAAAAAAGCAAAAACAAATTTAAAACCGCTAGAACTTTTTTTAGCACAATTTTATGATTATTCCTGTCTTTTCTAATTATTTTTCTAAGTATTACATGTTCTAGTTGATTAGAAGAGAAATAAAAATTGCATACATACTTAATTTATATCAATAAACTATGTCAAATAGATAACATTGCAGTGTGTTATTCACTTGTTCTTAATTAATGAACTACACTGGTACCCTATGCCACCCTTGATAGTCTCCCCTATAGCCACAGTAGGGATCCACAGATAGCTAAGATATCTGTAGTAGCAGATATTTCCACAGATATGTAAGTACTGTTGGTGTTTCATATCTGTCACATATCTGTCACAGTTAGAAATTTTGGGCCAAATTCCTATATGTTACAGATATGTTACAGATAGGTCATTCAGATATTTCACAGATATGCTGCAGACCTGAGGAACATATCTGTAGCCTATCTTCCAGTTTGGTGAGGGGGTGCATGTTGTTTTCTTTTTTTTCAAATTTCAATCTTGATGAGAAATTTTCTTTTTCATTGAATGTAAAATAATGGTAAGCTAAAAAAGCACAAATCTAACATGTAATTCATACTCGGAATCCTGCAGTTGTCAGTGATTTTCAAGTGAACTTCAATTTTGTGTCAGCAGAAAGGTCAGCAAGGTACTTGTATGAGAGTGTATATGTCTCTCAAGGAGACAATTGCTGATCCTAGCAGTATGCAGGAAGTGTGCACAAGTATGCGCAAAGTTTGTAATGGGCCTTGCATGCTCACCATAGAGTGTTTGTGTCTCAGTGGTAGAGCATCCGAGTGTGGAATCCAATGGAGGTTTGATTTCTCATGGGGACTCAGAACTTTTTTCTTTGTCTCATGCTAGTGACAAGACAATACATCTTTCTCTAAGAAAATTGTTTTAGCAATAGTTAACAAATGAACAATATTGTTGTAGCAATAGTTAACAAATTAACAATAATTTTTAGAAATTATGTTAATTTGTTTTATGTTTCTACTCGTTACCCATCCACTCCTTTTATGTGTACTCCTATATTTTTTTGGACCATTTCATTTATGCCTAACTGGTGTCAATTAGTTTGATTTCCATGTAGGAATGGCCATTTTTTTGTGATCAGTCAATATCTTTGCTTTGCCTTTCCTCTTCTCTCTATTGCAAACCAGTCAATACATTGCATATACCTGCATCTATGATTTGGAGATATCCTGGATAGTTATTTAATTGATTTATAAGTTTCATACATGTAGAAGGACATGCAATTGTGCCCCTACAAGTGTTAATTATTGCACACAATGACTCCTGGTACAAGCAGTTTGAAGGGGGCTCTGTGAGACAGTTGTGCTTTTATTGTGTCTAGTTGGGCTTTTGAAAGTAGGTAAAATACAATCCTGGATAAAGGTTAGAGGTAGTGAACAACTCATCATTGAGCATCCTTAAGCACACTTGGGTATTGTCAAAGTGTTCCTGGTGCTGAGTTCCATGTAAACGACAAAAAATGTCCAACTGAATGCAACCTTAAAGGACACAAAAGATGGAAAATGTAGGAATTCCCTCAAATTCTGAATTCTCATCACAGAATGTTTTGAAAAAAGATCATTCACTCTAATTTTTGTCCTCTCTCTTATAACGTAACACTAAAACCTATGTATTTCAAAAATAGAGGTGATTTATCGTCCAAAAGATAAAGTTGAAAAATTTCATACATTCATGTCACTCACATGGACTGTAAAAGTAAAAATTTTGTATTAGTCATGCAATGCTAATNGACAATGAAATAACTGCTTCTTCGAAACAAAGTAACAGCACGCCAGCCAAGAATGGTCGACTGAACTACACGTCAGGATCATCATGGTGTGCAGGAGCAAGTGACGCCAACCCATTTCTACAAATTGATCTACAGACACTTCATATCATCTGTGCTGTGTCTACTCAAGGGAATTCTAAAGGAGATCAGTGGGTTAAGACTTACAGACTACAATTATCCACAGATGGGACAAATTGGGCAGACTACATGGAAGGAGGACAAGTGAAGGTGGAAAGTAGATTCTGTATCAGAAGCAATATATTTATAATGAGTGTAAGGGTTTCATCTGGGTATTTTGTGTTTTCTTTTTCAGGTTTTAAGAGGAAATGATGATAGGAACTCAGACATGAAGCATGTTGTTTATCGAGTGTTAACAAGATATGTGCGATTCCTGCCAGAAACGCACCAGGGTGGGGTGTGTATGAGAACAGAGGTATTTGGAGTGAAACAAAAGCCAAGTGAGTGTGAAACATTTAATGGTGCACGATTTCGAGAATATATAAAAGCTCAACCTTTTATCAAATTGGCCATTTAGTGACCTAAAATTGTGTCGTGTTCACCAGGAATATGACATTTTTGTGAAAGGGATAAAAGAAGAAAAATTTTCCGATGTTTTCCTGTCTTTTTTGTCAAAGAAAGTTTTCCAATTTAATGACACGTGTTTGTCAGTCATGTAGTGGGCCATTATATCCACTAACTATTCCATTAGTTGATGTTTTCATGCCCAAAGCTGTAAAGAGGTAAACATTTCAATAAAATTTTATGCTATGATATATATTGTAAAATGTGTACCATTTATAGTGCTCCCCACTTAACCGTCAACTTATTTTTTTGTGGTGACCAAAGTTTAATTTGAGTGGTTGTTGTTTGTGGTTTGTGGTGAGGTGTAGTGTGAACCTCAAAGAAGCAGAGTTAAGAGTCCTGATGAAACTCTTCTAATTTGATATCTTCCAACTTTAACATTGTATATATTCATTTAAGAGACATTAATCCATCTAGAAGAGAAGTAGGGTGAGATGAGGGAGGAATGTTCATATTTTTGGTCTTAATGCACAAGTGTACAGTTTATGTTAGTCAAAATGCACCAATTGTATGACATTAACTGATTGCAAAGAAGGTCAACCAAGGTTTTGACAGTATGGACTAAGCTAAGGAAGGGCTATATTAAAAAGGAGGAAGGCCTTTATTTCCTTAGGGAAAGCTTCTTGAGTGTAGAAAACATTATGCACACTGCTAATGGGGCACAGAACGATATGCCATTAAGGCTTTTAGGTTACAACCCTTGTAATCAACTATGCACCGGTAGGTTGATACTGCTCAGACTTAAGGCCACATTGAAAGCTCTGAAAGTTGCATGTAATTCTGTATCATATTATTATAGCGCAACAGTTTAGAGACTTTTGTCTTATAGTTTGGTTATAATTTTTTATCGG